GCCTTAAGCCGGATGTGGAAAAATTCGGGACTTTCCCTGCTTTCCAAGAAACAAAAGTTAGTTACAGAATAAAGAATAGTTACAACCGATTTCCGGCCAAAATGTCAAATATAAACACGTTAATTTGTACGTTTTTGGTGTCGAGATACCAAAACGAGTCATTCCAATAGCATCTGTATCTGTATAAAATAATCAACCGACAGTTTGTCCATGTTCCAGGTTAAAAAAAAAAAAACTTCCGGTGCCTGAATAAAAAAATGATTTGTTCTCTTTACGATATCTCTACTGAACGGTACCAAGATGCAAAAAACTACGTGATCCACCAACAGATATTCTATTTTTATCCTTTTTGCTGTGTAATGACTTCTTAACTGTTTATGCCAGGACTGAATCAATCTATTTGGCCACATCATATGAAAAATAATTGAGAGCTCGTCCCTGAAAAAGTAACGCAACCCATAGACAAAAGCTGGCTGAATGAAAATACCTACCTCAAAGTCTGTAGCGCTCAGTACGTTAAAGGACTTCCCGCAGTCTTAATTTATGTACTCGTTTTGTTTCTGGTGAGTAAATGACGACTGAAAAGCAGTATAATCCAAACGTCAAACCTCAAAGGCTTCCATGCCTCTTAAATAGTGTGATGAAATCGTAATTAAAAAACAATCCCGGACTCTCCCTAAATTCCACGAAACAAAAACGCCATGTCCGTGATGTCACTGATATTCACAAAGTCTCGATCGGAGCAGAACTGGCTTGGACTACCGTCACTTAGGAGCGATCGGATCGAGTCGTACTGTCCAAGCATTATAATCATGGTAAAATACCGACAGTGTCATGGCTTTCTCCTCAATATGACGGTGAGACAAAGGGTCATAGGGATATGGGTACCTCTTCTAAAAACGTTCCTTCTGGGGGTACCAAGGCACAGATTTCGTTCCACAAAAGAACAATTCAACCAAACAATAAAGCCCCCAGGAGAACTCTAACTTTGACTATTTTAAATGAAACAAATTGGAAACTTTCTTTAAACGCCCTTGTGGTTGTTTCAGTCAGTTCCTTAGACGTTCCAACAGGCGCTTTTTGTAGTACGTAAGCATAAGTAACACGCAACAAACGCTCCTTGATCGGTGGACGCGTTCCCGTACCTAGCTGACCGCTCGGGTGAATTAAGGAATGGCTCTCTTGAAATTTGTAAGGGGGTGGTCTAGTTTAAAGGGGATTTAACTTTTCGACTTGAAACTTTGCATGCGATAAATGCTTCTTAAAAAATGTTTTTATCCGTTGTCACTAATGAGCTATCTTAGTCACGTGACTTGTCACGCCCATTTTTTGCCATTTAGTTCGGTCCAATTTTACGACATTATGCAAATACTAGCTGTGATTTATTTTACTTTCTTTCAATGACTATGAACACAAGGTTTATGGAATTAATCGGGCTTTTTCAAAATTATTTGTTTTGCGTGAACTACAACGTTTCCAGTTGAGACTGGGACTGGGCCGAGGAGAAAACATTTTGATAATTGTATAGGAATAAAATATTTTGCAATTCCCCGTTTAATTTGACTAATATGCCTTTAAACTTAACACTATGAAAAAATAAACGGGAGCTTCAACAGTCATTTTCATGGTGTAATCTAGGAATACTAAATTTTGCATGATTATGGGCGTGGCTGGTCACGTGACCTTAAGAGGCTCAGTGTGAGGTCCAAAAATGGTTCCAATGTTAAGCACATATGTTTAAGTAAAAATGAAAAGAGATGGCAGAGAGAACAAGAAAAAATGATAAAAGCCCAAAATGAAGCGAGGAGCCATGCCTTAAATCACTCGAGCGTCTTTTTAATTTGTGAAAGGCAGATCCTTGCAAAGACCGAGTGCAATCTGGGTACGAGTTAAAAATTTAGACATTAAAACTTTAGGGCGGCTATTTGAGCAAAGATTGGACGGGTTAAACTACCGTTCATTATTGAAAATATCGACAATTGCAAAATATGACATTTATACACTGGTTCTTCAATAGGCTAGTCTGAGTATCAGGCTTTTCTAAGAGGCTACGAGAGAGGCGATTTTCGCTTCTGTTTTCCCCGTTTTCCTCCTGAAAGGCTGTTAATAGACCTTTACTTGGCTTTTACCAACTTCCAAAAACCCTCGCTTTCAAAACGAGGCCAAGAACAGAAACATACCTCATTATAAAAATGATTTCTTGAAATGATAATTTAGAAAGCTTATTTCACATCTACGTTTTTTCACCTGACGTAACCCGTAAATGGACTGGGGACTTTTCAAATAATCGAACCTTAGCTACCAACAGTAAAAGTGAAAAATCCTTCGGGTAAACTTTAGTATATATATGAAAGCATCAGTCCAATAAATGCGGAATAAAAAGTTTACTTCTTGCTAAAAAATAGAAGTGACTTCTCAGCCACATGGTTTAATTCAGGTGATGCTATAATAAGGAAAACTAAGACGCAAGCAGTTCTGAGGATTCCAACGGGATTTGCACCGGTCTATGATCTTCCAGGACATCTATGAGAGACTCGCGGAGCGATATGCCATACAACTAGACTTATGTGTGTATTCAAAATCGTGGCAGTCTTTTGCTGCTTTTGATACATAATAATCATTCACACCTATTACTGAACCTGAAATAGGAGCACAATTGGCTTTCTTAAAAATATAGTTGTATGACCGAACACGGCAAGAAGAGTCTTTCATACCTCAATGGTAGTAAGGGCATCCAACCAGTGGAATTCTTCTGTACCATTTGAAGAGGGTTTAAATTTAAAACGCCTTTTAACCGACTTTTGTACACTATTGAAATAAAACTTTGGGTTTGACTCCTAACCCTGTTCACTAAGTAGCCTCTTCTCTTAAACAGAGTTACTTGATAAGCGCTTTAGCTCAGAAAACAGCTAAACTTCCCTATTTATAAGAGAACTCTAGTCAGAGGGGTAAAATTCTAATAGAAATGAGCTAACGAATAACACAAAGACGCTGTAATGATTGATAGGCAAGCTCATTTCTAAGGAAACCAGAATGACAGTAATGATATACTTCGAAAAGAGTTTAGAATTTGCCGACATTCTAAAGATCTCAAGACCGTTTCATAAACCAGGTTCATAATCAACAACAACAACTTTATTGACTTTATCTTCGACATGAAGATTTCAGCACCAGAACAGTCAATACAATGACAAATGAAACAAAGTAAAATAAAACTTAAGTAAGAAAGAAAGTAACAACAACTATATATTGAATATTATCATAAAAGAAAAATTACTTGGCTATGTACGGCTCCTACGCTACTCGTATGGTAAGAAAGTTTAATTAGAGTTCGGATTTACAACAATTTAGAATATTTTCAATATAAGAGGCACTAAGACTTATGATGTTTTCATCGCACACAGTCGCACATAGACACGATATAAAAAAATAGTTCCTAGCAAGGCATATTCGTAAAATTATTATTCATCGAGTATAGGCTCTCCAAGAAGATACCCCTTATATGAGAAAGTGATGAGTGAGTACATTTCAACAAATAGTGGAATTCATCACCAATTTCGGATCTATTACAAAGGGGGCAAAGCCTCCCAACTCTGGGTATCTTCTTGTAGCGCCAAGATTCAATAGGTAGCAAGTGGCAAGAAATCTGCATTTTGGTTAGTGCCACTCTTGTCTTAACGTTCTTTATTGAATCAAGATAAGATTAATGCTGTAAGAGGACCAACTCGGAATAAAGCCCTAATTCTAAATTCTATTGAGCACCCACCCATTCATTGCTGCCAGGTTTGCGTTTAAAAACTTAAAGATCAGCCCTAGCAGCTATGACAGGGCAGGGCAGAGGATTGGAAAACGCCTCATTCAAAACGGGAGAATACAATTTCGTACATCGCCTGATTTGTTAAGTCTTGTCAGTCACTAATGTGGGTCTTTCAATATATAAAAATTCAGCACGACAGCGAGTCTTAGAGGACACAAACATGTTTATTCATTTTCTTTGTTTGTGTCCTCTAAGACTCGCCATCATGCTGAATTGTTTTAGAACTTTCCGCTAAACACTCTCACTACAGTAAGCACTGAAACATTAGGATCGTGAATGATATTAGGCAAATAAAAACCAGTTTAAAAGCAATACCGTAAGTATCGTTTTGACGCAAAGCTGGGGCACCCAACGACGATTTTCTGTAAATATCTGTTCGGAGCGGAGTTTTTCACATTTCCCTCCCTAGGTTAGGCTGTCTTTCGTAGAAAAAAGGAAACCAAAACTTATTTTCGGATCCAAAAATGTGATGTAGAGAGGAATCAGAAAAATTCTCACTTTCGCAATACGTTAATTGCAACTAACATTTTCGAGAAAAAATACAGAAGCCCTTGCAATTTCGAAAAGACTCAAGCACCCCTAAGATGACCGAGCAGATATAGAATGTATTTCTAGAGGTGTAAAAGCACTCTGGATTGCCTAAAAGGTGTTTTCAATGTATTTAGGAAGCAACCGTCGTTGGGTGGCACTCGCAAAGAGCGCTTAATTCCAGAGAACGCTTGCGTCTCTTTTCTTAGCTTAGATATCTATTTAGCTCTATTTGGCATTTCATCACGTTCGTCAAGATCCGTACCTTTACAAAGTTTATGAAACCAAAGTTATACTCGTGTTCATGTAAGACATGTAAGTAATTGAGCTTATTTACAGCAAGCGTAGGCAAAGGATTATAACGAGTAGCAGAAGTCACGTAGAACGAAACAAGTCCTGACTAATTTAGTAGACGTAGGTTCAGAAGGTCTATACAACTTTGACATCTCCATTTTGAGGACGACCAACTGGTCCTGCCTACCCCTTTTCCCTTGTGCTCCGCGCTCAGCTCGTGCTTCACGCTTTAAAAAGTACAATTATCACCTGTTCTCTTTGCGGGTCTCAGACAAGACTACTTCATTGAGATCCTGGGTATATACATTTATGTACAGCTGTGACAGTAGTTGCCAACTTAAACGACATGTTTCCTCTCAGTTTACAAGTTCTTTGTTTCCGTTGCGCCTTCGCAATCTTTCGAGCTGCTCTTATCAAATGCACCTGCAAATAGAAGAACTAATGATCACGGTTCCCTTCCGTATGTATTCATTGCACGATATATTTTAGCCATCGATCAACATGCTTCTGTTGCTCGTTTTGCTAATTGTTTCACCTAAATATCTCTAACACAGATTTTTTCAAACTAAAACAAATAGGAAAAACTTTACACTTTGAGGAAATTATTTATATGCTAAAAATTCATTAAAGCCGTATTGTATCACTTTGAGCTTAAATGCGATTCTTATAATATTGGCAATGCATACCTATTGTTCCCAGCGACACGGGGAACTAAGTTGTGGGAGGCAACAGCGACTGCCAGGACAATAGGCATGCCGAATAATAAGGTATAAGATGTTAGCCACCACCAGGGGAGGTGGGAGGGGCGAAACTTCTAAGTGACTTCCACTGAACCCCGTTGAATTAGCCAAGAGGCGGGCAAAGCCTCCTCTTCCGGTACAAAATCGCGACCACGAAGAGAAGTAAAGCGAAACGTATTGTAAAACCCAATTGAATCGAATGAAATACTTTCTTGGGGGAATATTAAATCTTGCGACTTCTCCGCGAGACAAGCATCATAAAAGAGACTATTGATGACAAAAACCCTCCTTTTAAGAACACACGAAAAAGACAAGGGAGTTGCCTTTAGCTCATTAGCCAAAAAAATATCTGCATAAAAGAGAAGTTGGAAAATTAAATGCTCCTGCAGCTGCTTGGGCTAGATTAAGTGCCCAAGGAATCTTTCCGTTTGCTTTTAAACTCTGGCCCACCGGTAATTAGTACTTATACCCTCTAAGCTGTCTCTGGTTCCCTGAGGATGAATCTGTTTTAAGACTGAAAAATACATGCAGCGTTTTTATAGCCTGTTCCAACTGGAGAGAAGGTCGAATTTTATTTTTCGATTTTCATGGAATATTTAGTAAAGCATGCTCCGATAACTAACTAAAATGAAAATGTAAAAAACGATAGTTGAGATTCCCCCAAAAAACATACGAAAACAATTTGAGTCATAGGGAAGAGAAGTAGGTGTCAACACACGTTTTCTTGGGGGTGTACCTGATGAAAGACAAAAACGTAGCTTTTTCCAGGCCAGCCAGTTCCAAATTGAGAAAGCGCGATAAGGAAATAAACGCCACCGCCCTCCTTTTCTTAGATTCACGCGCTCATATTTTTGCACGCCTTTCACCGCGTCATCCCTACTATCTGAGAGCCTGCCTCACTTCCATGAACAGGGTTCGAAAAGACAATAAAGAAAGAAACTACCAAAACTCAGTATAACTCCCTTAACAATATTTTTCAAAATATTGCGTTGTCACGAACATTCATTTCACATATTTTGAATAAACATGGCTAGAAAAACCTAAAATTGACATCAAATACAAACCTTTGAACGCTACATCATCTCCAATCAGCATAAAGGGTGCCCACTGCATGACGTCAGAAAAGTGATTCTCTCTCATCGACTTCATGGCCTGGTGAAGAGATTCACTTGCACTTTCACCATGAACAAGGTGCTCGTAAAAACGATTCATAAACCACATGGTAGCTTCGTCCTCTACAGCCCACAGTGCCGCCAACACGGCGCGTGCACCCGATGCTAGAAATGCTCGAGCGATTCCAACAACTCCCTCAGCCCTCATCTGACCACTTGCACTATGACAGCAGCTAAGGACAACCAGTTTGGCTGTTAGTCGAACTTGTGAAATTTCAGCCATCGTCAGTAAGTAGTCTTCTTCGTTTGGAGTTCCGCAGGAGCTTATAGGGGAAAGAGCTATTTCTCCACGTTCAGCATAACCATGAGCAGCAAAGTGAATGAGACTTACTGAATGCATGCTTTTCAGGACTGCCTGCTTAGTTGCATCCCTTCCAAGCAACGGTTGAACACCGAGCAGTCGCCCAATCATCTCTGCTTCCTTTCTGGCCCAAGGCAATGAGTTTAACTGTAGAAGTTTTCCTTGGTAGTATACATCACTAACCTCTGGCTCTCCTACGATCAGTGCACCGGTTTTACTATGGTAGTCTTCTGGACTGAGCTGAATCAACTTAAGAGTGGTCAAGGAAGGGACAATACGAATCCTGAAATTATCCGATAAATACTTTCCATTATCATCCATTAAAGCAGCAAAAGGAATTGGATGCAACAAGTTATCCGGCGCAATAATGATTTCTAATTCTTGAACTAAGTCAGCTACAGGGGCGACTATCATGTTGTAACCATCAGCGAGGGTTAAAGCTTTAGAGTCGTGATTTTCGTCTTCCTCTTCTATAAGACGCAAAGATTCGAAGTTGTCACTCTGAGATGGTTTACATGATGGCGGGGAGCTTACACATGAAAAAAATGATCGATCTTCGCATTGGTCTTGACGTAAATCAAGAGAACCACCAAATGTCTGATTTCTAAACACTTTATCTGCACTCTCTTGAAGTGTCTTTTGTCGAAAATCTATTATTTTGTTTGGCTTGAGGATCCAAAAGTACATATTATAACCGAAACAGGAAACATAAAGACAAGAACTAAGTGCATTTTTGTTCATGATGTTCTCAATACCAGTCCATGACTGTGGGTTGACTGATACCCCTTTATCCACAGAGTACTTTTCTGACAGTACGTCTGTCAGTGCTCTGGACCGTCCAAGCTCAGCAACGTACAGAGCTTCATAATAACTGCCTGTAGTAATCAACAACGTACAAAGAAGAAGGTAAGGGGACACATGCTGATCAAAAAAAGAAATTTTGAATTGATCTTTCACTCTTAAAAAATCATGCATTTCTTCGCACTTCTGAATGCTCTCATAAAGATTTCGCAGAAGTTCAGTTGTGATTCCTCCTGCCACTAACGCGTTTAAAGCAATGGTAAGGTGGCTGTGAAACTGCATTTCAATGTCCCCTATTTCGTAACTTATCTCCAGTGCGTTATTAGCAAATTCTTGACTCTTCGCATTAAGCTGAAGTTCTCGACAAAGTTTTCCCAGCTTTAAGTTTAAAGCTCCAACACCAGCTTTGTCACCGATTTCTTTACAGATCACTAGTGCCTTTTGAAGGTATTCTTCAGCCTTGGTATATTGACCAACAGAAAGAAACACAGTTCCTAGATTTCCGTAAGCTGATGCTACGCCTCTTTGGTCACCGATTTCTTTCTTGATCACTAGTGCTTTTTGAAGGTATTCTTCAGCCTTGGTAGATTGACCAGCAGACCTAAACACAGTTCCTAGATTTACGTAATCTGTAGCTTCTCCTTCTTTGTCACCGATTTGTTTCCTGATCACTAGTGCCTTTTGAAGGTATCCTTCAGCCTTGGTATATTGACCAACAGACCTAAACACAGTTCCTAGATTTCCGTAATCTGCAGCTTCTCCTTCTTTGTCACCGATTTCTTTCCTGATCACTAGTGCTTTTTGAAAGTATTCTTCAGCCTTGGTATATTGACCAACAGATAAAAACACTGTTCCCAGATTTCCGTAAGCTGATGCTACGCCTTTTTGGTCACCGATTTCTTTCGTGATTACTAGTGCTTTTTGAAGGTATTCTTCAGCCTTGGTATATTGACCAACAGAAAAAAACACAGTTCCTAGATTTCCGTAATCTACAGCTTCTCCTTCTTTGTCACCGATTTCTTTCTTGATCACTAGTGCTTTTTGAAGGTATTCGTCAGCCTTGGTATATTGACCAACAGACGTAAAAACAGTTCCTAGATTTCCGTAATCTACAGCTTCTCCTTCTTTGTCACCGATTTCTTTGCTGATCACTAGTGCTTTTTGAAAGTATTCTTCAGCCTTGGTATATTGACCAACAAATTTAAACACAGTTCCTAGATTTCCGTAAGCTGATGCTACGCCTTTTTGGTCACCGATTTCTTTCGTGATTACTAGTGCTTTTTGAAGGTATTCTTCACCCTTGGTATATTGACCAACAGAAAGAAACACACCTCCTAGACTTCCGTAAGCTGATGCTACGCCTTTTTGGTCACCGATTTCTTTGCTGATCACTAGTGCTTTTTGAAGGTATTCTTCAGCCTTAGTATATTGACCAACTGAAAGAAACACAGTTCCTAGATTTCCGTAAGCTGATGCTACGCCTTTTTGGTCACCGATTTCTTTCCTGATCACTAGTGCTTTTTGAAGGTATCCTTCAGCCTTGGTATATTGACCAACAGAAAGAAACACACTTCCTAGATTTCCGTAAGTTGCAGCTTCTCCTTCTTTGTCACCGATTTCTATCGTGATCACTACTGCTTTTTGAAGGTATTCTTCAGCCTTGGTATATTGACCAACAGATTGAAACACAGTTCCTAGATTTCCGTAACATATTCCAACTCCGCGATTGTTTCCAGCCTGAATCATGATGCCGAGTGCCTTCTCGTAAAACTGTTTTCCTTCCTCGTATTTGCTTATTTGACAGTAGATGTTCCCTTTTCCAAGTAATATCATCCCTTCTTCTGCTTTTTGGCCAGTATTGTGTAGTGTCACGTGAAGCTTTTTACCACATTCTACTGCACGGGTGTGATCGTAGATAAGCGTGTAGCCAAGAAAAAGTTTATGGTATACATAGACAACAAGTTGTGTGGTTAGTTCTTTGCTTGTCTCTAGGGCTTTACCGTTAAGGAGCACCAAACATTCGTTGAAGATCTCCAATGCTTTTATAATACATCCATTGTTGAAAAGAAAAGTTGCAACGACTGCACCAATATGAATGGTCTGTAGAATCTCCGAGATGTTGTCCATGACGCTTTTTTCTGAACCTTGAGAAAAAAAATATTTTAAGAGTAAGAAAGTGGAAACAAGATTCTTAACGTCTTTTGACAGAACAGTTAAACTTCTTGGGCAATATAATCAAGCTTCCATGTAAGATTTACTAAGCCGTAGGTCACGATTATAAGTGTTGGATTTGTTTGGCCTTGTATTCTATACTTACTGAATATGTAAATGTAGAATATATATAGAAATCAATAGTTTTACAGACTAGTTTGTAACGTACTGTTTACCATCATACACCTTACCGTTAAAAATTCTGCAAAATAAAACTATTTCAGTCACATGCTTTGAAAATCGCGAACCCAGGTACTCACTTAATCCTGACTCATTCCCCACTCTGTTTGATATCTTTACTTAAAAATACCCAGTCTAACTTTTGTTTGTAATATTTGCCATTACATCTTATATAGTGCTTTATAATTTTGGCCAGCTCCTTAATTTTAGTATTGACCTTTTTCTCGATCTTTATCTCCCGTATCGCAAAGGTCAGGCTTCAAATCCTGGTAAGCCTGAATTTTTGGCTTTTGTTAGGCTTTCTTTCCACAAGTGCATAAAGTTGCGTCTTTAACAGCGAGAATGTTCTCCATATTTAAACTCTTTGAAGTTCAACACGAGGGCAAACAAATCTGTCAGGATTTTTTTTATTTTTCAAGTCATAACTAAAAAGTAAGGAAAGTGAAGTCGAAAAACGTCTTTCCTTGGCTGCAGAGTTCGTATGCAGCGGTGAGGTGACAAAACAAACCAGAAGTTCTTAGCGACCAGGTTAAGGCACGTTACCGAGAAGATCTGGGGACCAGGTTGAGTTGTTTTGGTTGTGAAAAAAAATGGCGGACATTTCACTCGTTTCAAGAGTAAGAACTACAGCTGGAACTGGGCGAAATAATAGCTTAAAACATGGCAAAAACAGCAAGAAGACAACTCGGAGGACGACATCTGCTATTTGGAGAATATTTGCGGAGCTGGACAAATCTAAACGTACACTATCGAAGATGAACTTAACATGGATGCAGGTGAGCATGTTTTAGCTATGTTTTTAAACTAGGAATTATTTTGAATAAATAATAAAGCAATGAATGAATTCGGCTTTCGAAGGATATGAACAATTAAGCAGATCTGGGAGGGTGTTATCCACCGAGGCCGAAGATAACACCTTCCTCGATCTGCTTTATTCTTCATATCCTACGAAAGCCGAATTCATTCATTGCTAAATTTTAAATACCATGGGTGCAGGTTTTGTTTTTAATAGACACTGCCCACCTAGACTAGCCTTTGCTGTTTGTGGGCAGAGAGAAAATAAAATTGTAAATATCTTAATAAACCAATAAATGAATGAAATGAAATGAAATGAATGGATGCAATTTACTTAAAGGCAAAGGCAGCGCTTATTACGCTGCTATAGGATATAATAGGATACAAAATTGTGATTATTCAGATTGAGGATTATTCAGGTGTTAAACTCATCACCAATAGATGAGCTTGGGTGCTGGTGCCTACAAAGTTGGTGGATCCGGGGAATGCTCTAACATGAGGAGGAGGTATCCATGGCAACCCTTCGAGCGGCCCCCACCAGGCACCGTCACACTGAACAATTCAGTGGAATACTTACTGACCATCGCCCATACCTCAATAGCCTGTTCATACACCGTCTATTTTCTCTTCGAAGTCCTTCGAGCGCGGGTGATAAAATATAAACCGCAGGGGATTTATTGACCGCCAGCGCAAGAGGGTGGTTTCTCGCGCTCCGTGCTCGCTCTCGCGCGCTCGCTTCGCTCGCCGATGTTTTCGAAAAGAACGAAAAGAAAAATAAAACAAGGTCTGTGTACAGGCTAATACCTCAAGAGGAAGGGAGGTATGAGAAAAAACCAAAGCACAAAATGGCACGCAAACAGCAAGCTATTGCAACAACACTTTGCGAAGAACTGCAAGCAATCAACTGCGTATGTAAGTCACGAGGTGCCCCTGCTAGAGGCATCGGGCCACCCCTAGTATAGCTGGGGAAACTGCTGACCAGCATTGCTTCGAGGTTAACTTTGCCTAAATTACATTTAGCCACATTAAACCGCAAAAAAGTCGATAGATTTACTGCTTGAAACATAAATGTTGGTAAGTCAATTTATAACAAACTAATTAACAATTAATGAATGAGGGTGAGTATGGAGATCGAGGAGGGTGTTATCAGTTATAGCGGATAACTCCCTCCGAGATCTCCATAATTCTTCATATGATACGAAAGCCGAATTCAATAATTTTTTTATTATTCATTCAAAATAATTCCTAGGTTAAAAACAAAGTTAAAACATGCTTACCTCCATCGATGTTAAGTTCATCTTCGATAGTGCACGTTTAGGGTTTTCCAGCTCCGAAAATATTCTCCAAATAGCAGATGTCGCCCTTCGAGTTGTCTTCCGGCTGTTCTTGCCATGTTTTTAGCTATTATTTCGCCTAGTTCTTATTCTTGAAACGAGTGATATGGGTTTACCTCGGTGTAAGAACCTGTGAACTTTTTCTTTGTTTTGCACCTTTTGTTTTTTTAGGTTCTATTGTGTTTATTTTTTTGTTTTCTTTGTTTTACATCACCCGTGAGTTTAACAGGTTCTTACACCGAGGTTGAGTGAAATGTCCGCCATTTTTGTTTTCACAGCCAAAAACAACTCAACCTCGTTCCCAGGTCTTCTCGGTTAACGGTACATTAACCTGCAAGAACGTTGCACTTTTGACGTCATCGGTTCATTAAACACAAAATTCTTCCAAATTTGGTCATCAGTAACTGGGTATGGTGAATTATGTATGTGCTTTTAACCAATCACAATCGGGGAAAGATTTTGAATCAATAATAATATACGTTATGATTAAGTACCCCTCGGGGTCTACTCGCAGCACTTCACTTTAATAGACATCGCGCAGAATAGCTACTGTTCTCGGGACATTTACTTACAGTCGAGGTGGAAGCACAGGTCTGTAATATTGCAGGTGAAGCGTAAACTGAATCGCTCTCATTGGTGGAAGTCTGCGCAGTCTTTGTAAACTCTAGTAATAAGCAAAAGTCCTAGCTCGAATCCTTGCTCAAATCCATGCTTGAGTTCACGCTCTGTATTTAGGTATACCCAAGTATATGCCACGGAAACACTTGAATTCTGCGCAATAACTGAAAGCTCGCTGGAAATATTGCTTGCGTTCTACAGTCCCTTTAGTTTACTTTTCAGAATAGACGAATCTGCCAACTCTTTACAAACGTCTCTGATTCTGTCAGCATGCAGTTATACTTGTTTATAATTTCCAGGTTACTGATTCAGGAAATAACAAATAATCTCTACAAATTGTGTTCCCACCATCTCATACATATTTGTGTTTATACATTTAAAAGCTAAGTAACCCATGAAGAAACTAAAAAGAATAACTTCTTCTTGAAGCAATTATGTAGTTTTTTGCTTTATTAGGTCAGAAAAAATATATCCCTTTTCTGAACTAGTCAAAGACCAGCCAGACTACTTACCTCTGGCGAGTGAAGCTTGTCGCGCCTAACGTGCTAGCAAACCATGCATAGGCTGCAGAGTTCCTCTGAAAGATCTGTAAAATCAAGGGGTCCCTTGTTAAATATAGACTAGTGTCGAGCTACTTCGTTGACACTGTTAATAACCGGGAAAATTAAACACTCGCATGCCACCACCGACGGTAAAGAAAAGCTAAAACTGAAACTAATTAAAGACAAATTATGTCGTTTCCTACCGCTTAATACACGAAGCGGAACTTATTATGTCGCTTGCTACCGCTTAACACACGAAGCTGAATTTATAAGATCTCGGCGAATGCAAGAAAGACAAAACCATCTTGCTCCCTTAATAGTAAGACTTATATTAATTATAGGTGACACGAAAAGCGATTAACAACGCTAACATACAATGTATTCTAAACTGTCAGGAAAAGAGAGATACAAGAGATCAAAACTGGTCATGAAGAGAACAGAGAGAATCAACCAACTGCATATAACCAGTAAACAAAACGTTGCATGAATAGTAGGGGAAGAAACCCGTCACTTTTTGTTGCTCAACCTGTAAAATAGATGAACTTAAAAGATTCACAACTATCAGTGAGAATAAAAAACGTTTTTTGTATCTTCCGACACTTTGAGTTCAAAATATCGCTATGAAACCGTAAACCCAAGCAAGGTTTTTTCCAACTCGCTGGACTTCGAACTAAATAGTTTAAATTAAGCAGCCACTGAATGCTTTTAATGCGCTTTAAAGCCGTAGCCATTGTCCTTGCAATCAAGTAAAAGATCTCAAAATCTTTTGTTGATGAAGAGTCTACCAGTATTTAGAAATCGCAACGAAAGAAATCTTAATTTGCCCTACCGGCTGATCATGAACAAGAAATCGTTTCGCTTTCCGAGAAGAAGTAAAGAAACAAATAACTCTCTCTTCTAATTTCCTAGTTGGCAACACAAGAACTGAAAATCAATTTCGAGTTTTAAGCTAGGAAATGTAAATGAATAAGTCAACGTACTCACCAAGAAATTTGTCTCAACAGAAGTACCGAAAGGAAATTGAAAATTTGAAAACCCTGGGCTGAGAAATTAAACCTCGTATGTCTATGATTCCCCGAAAGAAACACCCTCGCCTTTGACATAACATAAGTGACGTGTTGCGAGGCAGCATGTCTACTGATGAATTTTGCACAATTTGTTGGAAGGAGGAAATATTGCCTAGAAATCTCTAAAACTTGGGAAAGGCTAACCTGTTGAAGATCGTCGAGCGCCGCCTGAAGATAGAAATTGCGGGAATTTATTGGCCGCAAGCGAATATTGAGAATCCTTTTTTTTTTTTTTACTAACTTACCCACGATTTTCGGAGGTTGAGCTTTTCAAATTTTATTACCAAGATAAAATGATTTTTTTAAAAAAAGGTTTCCTTAAAATTTCTGTATAAGGAAAATGTCCACTAGAATCTTCTAATGAAAGTATGGACAAACAT